TTCGCTTCTCATCCAAGAAGCTTCTTCAGTTCTGCCTGAATGGTAGGGAATGGAAGGATTTATATTCTTTTGAAAGAAAGTCCAGCTGCCTTTTGAAAAGCACCCTTGGGACAGGTTTTGCATGACTTTGTTTACAAAGTTTTCTTCCTAGACTCTGTCGAGTCCTACGATTGTCTGGTTCTGGTCCTTTTCTTATGAAATTAAGTGAAGTCAGAACATGAATATATTGAACCAAACATTTTATGGAACTGGAACTAATCCCCCCACCCTTCAGAACTGGCCTCTAACTTATTAATGCTTTTCTACTTCATTAGTGTATTTCTAATCTATTCTCAGGAAAGAATAGAGCACCTGTGAAAATGTTAAGATCGAGTTGCAAACACAGCTTCCAGACGTGTTAATTTAAACTTTTCAGAACTGAAATTGTGATTATTACCAAAATCTACAAGTGCTAATTACTGACTATGTGCATATTTATGAAACTTGGGACATTTTGAAAGGAATAGCCATTCAATGGACGATAGCTAGTTTGCCGTTCTAAGTTTCTTTTTCACTAAGAAATAGTTAAGGTGGCATTCTTGGAGTCATTAAAACTGAATTTTTCCAGATTGGTGGTACATATAAGTCACTCTCCAGATGTTATTGGGCAATAACTCACATTGTTCCTTACTAAGAGTCATCATGTTATGCATAGCCATAGGGAAGCTAACTTCAACATCTGGAGAGCCACATACATCCCAACAAGACTTAAAAGCACATACAACAGAAGACTTCAATTCTTGTATCTTCTTTGGTTTTATATATATTCCAAAACATCCATTGTTTGCACAACAGAAGCCCTTATCTGGATTTTTAAAAAAAAACAAAAAAAACAAAATATAATTCCTTACTAAAAGCATTCTGTTAAATTGCTCTCTTCTTTCCCTGCATTGAACCTCAGAGTTCACTAATATAATTCCCTTCCTTAATGAATGTACAGCATTGCAATATTAAATGCCGTAATTTCAACTGATCTCTTTCTACAGCCTATTTAGCTTCAATAATGAGAATGATTTATACAAGGTCAACCCAATGACTTTAGGGATTAAGGAATCGCTTTGCTGCTCTTGAACTTGCAATATCAAGGGAGAAAAGAGAAACTAACATCCAATAATTGGTGAATAACTTAGCCCAGCCCAGAAATCAAACGTTGCAATTATTGTTAGGAAAATTGCTTGATGTACGATTCTTATTGTCATTGTTAGTAATAGTATTCCTTTTTGGCCTGAAGAAATCAAAAATATCTTCTATTGGGGAAGCCCAGGTTCCAATCTCTACACACAACACAGGAGATGACTTTAGAATAAGAAGACTTGAATCTACTCCTCAGAATTATTATTGTGAAGTTAAGATTAGGAAAGATACTCATGTCTATTACTTGAGCTTCCAAAAAGAAAGATACACTCTAAATACTACATATCTTCTATATTTATTTTATAAAATTTATGTGGCCACCCAGAGTTCCACTTGTTAGATGGCCATATAAAACTAATAACACAAACAGACAGAAAGAAAGGGAGGGAGGGAAGGAGAGATAGAGGGAAAAAAAACAGAGAGAGACAGAGAAAGAGAGAGGGAAGAAAGAGGAAAGAGAGAGAGACAGACAGACATAATACATTATTTGGTTTAGTTGCTGCAGAAAATCAGATTTTTCAGAACATGAAAGCAAAGTCAAGTGAACGTATTTCCTCAAATATATGTTGTAGATCAAGGAGACAAACAACGAGACACAGACTGACTTTTTGTCTGCCAATGCTTCTATCGGTGCAAAAATATTTAAATATCTAGCAAAGCCCTTCCTTGTGAAAATATGGCTCCATTATAACAAGGGTTGTTCTTACTCAACCATTTAAGGAAAACGCACTTGGAATCTCAAGAGAACAAAAGCGTTTAAATTCTGAAATCTCATCCAGTACCAGAGTTTTCAAGCTTCCTTTGAAATTTGATAGGTAGGGGCCATCCAAATTCTGTCCAAAGAAGGCTCTAGAACACTGAAAAAACCTTGTCTGTGAAGAAATCTGAAACCCACTGGATTGCAAGTGGATGTATAAAGATAAGAATATAAAGATTATAGCCTGCAATCTCTTTGCCTGGACTGCTTTGAGTTTGTATCCATGACAGATGAGTCTGTAGAAGCTTACATAGCTTCTAGGATTGTTACCAGATTAGAGGATTACCACTGTAAAGGATTTATTAAAAGTAGGCAAGAATCTGTCTCATTCTGCGTTCAAGATACAGTAAGGCAGCTTATCAAACTCTGGTACAATTTGATGGAAGGAATATCTAAATAGGAGGGCTTTCTTGGACATATTTTAACACTATTTTTATGCTTCTTTTATAGGTCTGGTTTGTAGTTGTGGCGTAGATTATGGTCATGTCCTAAGAAGCTTCTTAGTAACTGCAATCAGACAGTTCTTAATCACAATTGTCTGATTTATACAATTGAGGTTCTTTACTGAAACTCAATAAATTTGAAATTTGTACAGCTGAGTTCCTATTATCATCTTTGATAATTTTTCTCTTCCGGTCTTCATCTATTAATTTTTCTTTTTCCCCTTACTTTGTTTATTTCTTTACCTCCTACTGTTCCTTTTTCATCCATTTATCTCCTTCCCTTCCCTTCTTGAACACTTCATCATCTTTTGAAGAGACACATAATAAAAGAATAAGCCAGCCTCAATCCAACTGAAAATCCTAAACAATTTAAGACAATTGTTTCTAGTCTGGGGTCCGAAAACCATGAATTATGAAATACTTAATCTTGAAATTCTGATTTTCTAAGAAAATTGTTATTAATTAGAACACTTAGAAATGCATCAGCTTCAGTCTTCAATGTGTTTTTTTAAAATCATACCTTTCCCTTCTCATCTCCACTCTTGGTTCCTGGATTTTTGCAGAAGTTTAAGTAACCTACACTCAATGCGTTTCTGTTTGGGCGGTGTCAAATTATTTGTTCAACTTCCAAAACTTATCACACTCTGCCCTCTAGTGCAAAAACACAATGGTTGCGCTACAAATGAAAACCCATGAGCTTTGCTTAAAGACAAATGAAAAACAAGAAATGGAAATATCAACAGCGTTTTCAGAAAAAGAAACAAAACACCTACATAACACCTTTTTAGTCCAATTTTCAAGATTGAAGGCAAGATTGTGGGAAAGTGACATCCTTAAAGTGGTGAAACCCTGCCTCCTTTTGTTGAATAAACTGTTTGGGGCTTTTGTTTACCTACATTGCTACAACAAATTCAAAGTAACCATAAACATTGACATTCAGCCCTGAATTAAAAATCAATAGTTTAGAATCACTCCACAAAAATCTATTTTCTTTTTCCACGAAGGCTTTATATACAGTATTTGTAACAGATGGCTTTTCTGGCTTTCCATCTTGTTGTGAATGGAATCTTGATTTTATTACTGTATTTAATCTACTAGAGATAGAATATTGGGCTTTGTCTACCTCAATTCAGGCCCCCTCTAAAAACCATAAGCCCTCTGCATGAGTCCAAGATCTATTTTTTATGTATGTATGTATGTATGTATGGGCATCTCTGAAGTGCCCACCTCCCTCAAACAGGGACAGTGGGCAGTGTAAAACAAAGGATTAAAATATAAAAAGAGTATATACACGTCCAAACATTAGAAAGTGACAATGATGATAAAACACTGCTAAAATTAATTGAAAGGTGAAGGGCACCAGCTAGCCCCATGGCTGCATGCTCCTCTGAGCTCTCCATGCAAGGCCACAAAGCCATGTTTTAACTCCTTTTGGGAAGGCCAGGAGAGTGGGGAGAATATGGTGGGGGTAATGGCAGAGAGGCTCTCTTCCTGGACCCCACCAGTTGGGACTTCTTTAATTGACAGGGTCTGCAACACACCTGCCTGACCAGATGGGACAAGCCAATACAATGGGAGAAATATGGTTCCGTAGGTAGCCTGGTCCTATGTCATGGAAGAGGCTGTCATTGGCACCCTCCATTCTTTTGAAGTGAAGCTGCTACGATGCATTGCCACCACTTCGTCCCTGCTTTAAGGCTGTGCAACCACACCCTATGCTTGATTAGTAGTTTGCTTCGGTTTCTTTCTTTTCCAACATATAAAACATGCGGAAACTCCAGAAAGAGTGCAGAGAAGAGCAACAAAGATGCACTGGAGACTAAAACATATGAAGGAGGGTTGCAGGAATTGGAAATGTCTACTTTGATGAAAGGACATGATAGCAGTGTTCCCATATTTCAGGGGCGGCCACAAAGAAGAGAGGGTCAACCTATTCTCCAGAGCGCCTGAAGGCAGGACAAGAAGCAACGGATGGAAAGTGATCAAGGAGAGAACCAGACCTAAGGAGAAATTTCCTGACACGTGAGAACAATTAATAAGTGGAACGATTTGCGTCCAGAAGTTGTGGGTGCTCCAGCATTGGGAGGTTTTTAAGAAGAAATCGGACAAGCTTTTGTCTGAAATAGTTTAGGGCAGTGGGTCTCAACCTTTTTAATGCCGCAACCCCCAACCAGTCGTAAGTCGAGGACTACTCAACCGGTTGTAAGTCGAGGACTACTCATCTGGTGCAGCACCGTTTGCAGAATGGGACTTTTGGCGGGCTCAGCAGGGCAGAGACAGCCTGGACAATTCCTATTGGCTTTTGAAAGCCAATAGAATTAGACTCTATTCAAGAGAGTCTATTCTATTGGCTTTCAAAAGCCAATAGAATAAAAGGGAGTAGCACGGCTAAGGAAAAGGGGGAAAAAAATGGCGGACTGCGTTGTTTGGCGACCCCCGTGAAATGGTCGTTCGACCCCAAATGGGGTCCCGACCCACAGGTTGAGAACCACTGGTTTAGGGTTTCCTGCTTGAGCAGGGAGTTGGACTAGAAGATCTCCAAGGTCCCTTCCAATAACTCTTATTGCGTTATTCCTCTCCTCTCAAAGAAGCAAAACCGTTAAGAAAAACCAGACTGGAGCATCAGATAAGTGTTTTTAGCACTCCCTCTTTTGACAAATCAAGGGATGGTGGCCACTTCTGGAGAAGGTAGGAATGCAGCCAGCAAGTACGAGGACGTGGCATTTTTTTTACTCTTTGTCCATCAAGAAAGCAAGAAGTTTCAAATGATATTTTCTCTGCAGATACAAGCCATGGATTCACCAACCACTATCCAATATGTGATTCCTGTGAGTGTGAGTGACAATAAAGTGCATTTATTTCTGACCGCCTTTCATCTCTCGCATGGAATAATCCTCAGGGAAAGAGAAGAGGCATTTAGGCATCCTTCATCCCATGATAAATTCTACCTCATCTGGAAAAGAATGAAGATGTGAAATTGCTGGAAGAGTTTGCCTTCCCCCAGGCACCAATTTAGTCTGGATCATTGAATTTACAGCCTAGTTTTGCCAATACTGATTTGACTGCTAATGCCTTAAATGCTTCACAAATTATGACATAAATCCAACGAAGGAGCACTCATATGACTCCAAAGACCAATCTCACTTATCTTGATTTTCCATTCATGAAAAATGCTGCTGTTCTTAACGGAGGCAGCCATTCGAGGGGTTAGACCGAATTAAAAGGAAAGGGAATGAATAGATTGCAGATTTTTGGGGGGTGGTGGAGAGCAGCAAAACGTGGCACAGAATTCTGAAAAGAGATTTAAAAGGGGATCGGTTTGACCTCTCGTATGACAATAACATCCGCTCTTCTCCATGGGTTAGTTTGGAGAAAATTAACCAACACTTCATTCTGGACCTAGAAGAAATCAAACAAAACATGCCCCTTTCTAGGAAGGCTAGAGAAAACAGGTGGAACCTGTTCAGGTGCAGAATTTGCAGAAATAACAAAATGGATTGCTTGACTTAAGATAAATCAATAAGTACTTTAATTGGAAAGTACTTTTATAGACCCTTTGCTGAAAATGATAAAAATGAACTGCAGGCATCCCTCAACCTACGACCACAACTGAGCCCAGAATTTATGTTGCTAAGTGTGAAATTTGTTAAGTGAGCTTTGCCCCATTTTACGACTTCCCTTGCGACATTTGTTTTTCCCCGCGAGAAGTTGAAATTGACTGATTGAACCTCTCTTTTTTTGCACATGGCGGCAGAGGCGTAAAGCGAAAAGGTTTTATAAAACCCAGCTGAAGACCTAGGACTGGGGCGACAGTGCGCGTGCCCACAGAGAGGGCTCTGAATGCCACCTCTGGCACCCGTGCCATAGGTTTGCCACCACTGGACTATGGGAAAGAAAGAACTATATAATGCAATTTTAAAGGGAGAGAAATAATAAAAGCTTGCTGGTATCTGATAGTAAGAAGATCAGATTTATTTTTATTTTTCCTTATTTGTATCTAGCACTTTTGTCTTTTTTTTTAATATATTCTTTTCTTGTTTGTTTTTAGTATTTCTTTGTTTATATTTCATACTTTTTAACTGCCCATCTTATAACTGGCTAGCTGGATGCCAGCCTACCCAGAGGTACTTTTGCTGCAGGCACTGTAAAAAATGTTTTCCCTAGCAGGCAGGCCTGACCCCCCCAAAAAGAGTGCAGAAATCATAAAACCAAGCACTTCTGAGCACTTTCCAGTCCTTTGCATCCCTCACCTGAACAGATACGCATGCGCCAATCATTAAAAAGGCTAGATGTGCATCAGCCGCAGAAAAGTGCAGTTGTTTAGAGGGACAATACTGCCGTGTTATTTTTGAATGTGTGTTTTCCTAGAATATAGGAAGGGGAAGTTTAGGACAATATTCCTCAGCCTTGGCTACTTTTAAGACATGGGAATTTCAATTCCCAGAATTCCCCAGCGAAAACTCAAGCTAGGGGTTGTCCGAGTATCAACGTGTTGTTCACTAGCATTAAAATTACTCCAAGCAAAGCTCCTTTTTTCCTCCCCGTTACATTTCTTTCCATGTCTTTTTCCCTTTACACACGCAAGCCAAAAAGGCTTGCAAATGAACTACTGAGTCATTTTAAACATGCAACTTTCCCCAGATTTCCATGTAGAAATGGGAGGGAGAGTTGCACATCTAGATGCCCCCCCCCATAGGCTTTCCTATAGATTAAAATGCAATGCCATCTTTGCAACGAAAACCAAGGGCTGCAGGCGGCTGTTTCTCAAACCTTGCCCAATTAAGGCTGTGGACTTCAATTCCCAGAATTCCCCAGCCAGCCAATGCTGAGAAATACTCAGAGGTGAGGAACGAGGACCCCTTTATGACTTCTGGACTTCAACTCCCAGAATTCCTGAGCCAGCCCCACTGGCACAGAGAGAGAGAGGACACGAATTCAGGCTCTAGAAAGACTTACTCTCCATCCCCGGCAAAATTTATCTTAAAACACGAAAAGCCGCAATCAGCCACGGCTGACGAGCCTCGCGCGCCCGTCCTCTTCACGAAGTAAATGAAAGGCGCATGCGTAGCCGCCGCTCTCAGATAGGCTTAGAAGGAGGAGAGGCGGAGGCAAGAAAACCGCCAATAAGGACACAGTGCGGAGCGAGCGAATTATAGCACGTGGAGAACCGGATGGCATCGTTTACGCATGCGTATTCGTATATTTCGAACAGGGATGGGAAACGACGGCTCTTTTATGATTTGCGGACTTTGACTCCCAGAATTCCACTTTCTAGCTCTACATACTGACAGTCACTCGCTCCGCGCTGTGTTCCTATTGGCGCTTTTCTTGCCTCCGCCTCTCCCCCTCTGAGCCTATCCGAGAGCGGCGGCCACGCATGCGCCTTTCATTTACTTCGTGAAAGAAGACAGGCGAAGGAGGCTCTCCAGCCTCGGCTGATTGCGGCTTTTCGCGTTTTAGGATAAAATTTTGCCGGAGATGGAGAGTAAGTCTTTCGAGAGCCTGAACTCGTGGCCCGTTCCCTTCTGGGCCGGCATGCTCAGAGGGGAAAGGTGGCGCTTAATCCGAAGTGACTCCGATTTGGGTTTACAAAGCGCTTTTGGGGGAAAGTGGAGTGGAATGACGCAAAGATGGTTACAGGGTTGATCTAGGACTGGGTTGGGGCTGTTGTAGTTTCTTGGCCCCTAATTAAGGAGGTTTTGTTTTTTTTGCCCTCTAGTTAAGGAGTCTCAATCCGACTTTATTGATTTTGCAAATATAACTTTTAGAACCAGATTCTTTCCAGGAGCTAATTAAGCAGGAAGGGAAAATTAGGGGAGAACTAGCCATAAGGGAATCCAGGCACGTGTTTGGTCTGAAAGAGGGATTGGAAAATCAGACTGTTTGCATGGCGATGGAAAACCCTTGGAAACCCTTGGAAACCCCAGGGCTGTAGGCTAAACTCAGAAGAAAGAGGTGGAGAAACATTTTTTGTACTGTTTTTGTATAGGCAGCCCTCAGCATACGACCACAATTGAGCCCCAAACTGATAAGTGAGACATTTGCTAAGTGAGTTTTGCCCCGTTTTATGACTTTTCTTTGAACAGTTGTTAAGTGAATTGCTGCCGTTGTTAAGTTACTAACTTGATTGTTAAGTGAATCTGGCTTCCTTAATTGAGTTTGCTCAAAAAGGATCATATGATCTTGGGACCCAGCAATGGTCATAAGTATGAACCCGTCGCCGAGCATCTCAATTTTGATCACGTGACCATGGTCATTACTATGAAAAATGGTCATAAGTCACATTTTTCAGTGCTGCTGTAACTTTGAACAGTCACTAAAGCAGCGGTTCTCAACCTATGGGTCGCGACCCCATTTGGGGTCGATCGACCATTTTTCGGGGGTCGCCAAAGGTGGCGATCCGCCATTTTTTGTGGCGCCGTGCATGCGCGCCGCGCACGGGGGCGGTGCCACGCATGCGCGTCGTGCATGGGGACGGCGCCATGCACGCGCATCGTGCACGGGGCGGCGTCGCGCACGCGCGTCGTGCATGGGGGGCCATCGCGCATGCGCGTCGCACGTGGGGGGGTGCGCGTGCGCACCGCGCATTGGGGCCCTGCCCCCATGCGTGCGGCGCCGCGCATGCGCAGAACGTTTGTGTGACGGGGGTTGCCGTCACACAAACGTTGAGAAGCACAGCACTAAAGGAACTGTTGTAATACAGTTACCTGTATTATGTGCAGTTTGGGCATTGACCTATATAAAGAGGAGTCCAGCTTGGTTTGTAAAGAGGGTTGCAGTGGCTTGCAATCCTGAACACAACCACTTTGTGCTGCAACTTTGTGCTGCATCCCTCAGATTTATTGCAACCAGAGAGCTCAATTTATTTGAAATCCTCCAAAGGAATGGGTAAGTGTAGCTGTAAGGGCAAGAAGTCACCTTGTAGGGGAGACAGGAAGTATAAAAATGTAATAAATAAAGAAGCTTTTGGGTGGAACGATTAGCCTATTGGAGATTACTATGCATAAAACCATCATCTCCTGAATGCTGGAAGGGTATTGAGTGTAAAAAGAGAGAAGGAACTACTAGGAAATTAGCAGTAGTCATTTTCTCAGTTGAGTTTCTTGTTTGCTACAATTTTGCAAGTTACTTTTTTGTGGGGAACTTTTTAACTCAGACAATAAAGTTGCCTTTTTTTGTTTGTTTGTTTGGCCTTTTAAAAAAGTATTTGGTGTTCCATGTGGCTAATAAAGGAGAATATTTGTAGTTGACATGAGGGGTCCTTAGTTGCTCTCTGAGTTTGCTTGTTTTCTTGCAGATGTTTCATTACCCAGACTAGGTAACATCATCAGTTTCATGTTACAACCTACAGAAACAAACATGCATATGTGGCAGGAAACATCTTTCTACAAAAACAATCAATTTAGGCCTGTAACAAAATACATCTTTTGGCCTGCGTGCCTCATCTTGAAAAGTCCAGCATAAAATACAACCTGGACTGGCTTCATGGATGTCATATGCCATAAGAGCAAAGATCTCATGTTCCCCAACTGTTCTGTTTTTATAGCAATAGGGTTTAGGTCTGTGTTGTTTCATAATTTCAAACATCTCCTGGAGAAAGATAGGCATATCTCTGAAAAGATATACAGCTTTGTTTTAACATGATCTCTATAATTTTATTTTCCAGAGCTATTATATAAACAGATGCCCGAGTCGACAGCAAAACTTGTGAACCTTCAGGTATTTTTATATCATTTATTAGTTCAATGTATAGAGTTGTCCAGTGTCAATGCATGACCATGGGCTCTGAAATAAATGGTGGATAATACATTTGGTTTGTATTTTTCATAATTAGGAGGCTGTGAGCTCCATCGTAGGCAGTGGCAGATATTTCTACCTTTGGGCAGAATGAGTTATTGTCTGCTGTGAACTCCAGATAGGCATTAGGAAGGGCATCCAGCCAGTAAAGGCTCGTTATCCCTTCAGTCATCCAAACTCCACTCTGATGCAAGGGATTACAGGGTTGTTAATAGAAAAAAAATTGGTAATATTGGACCTATTATTCAATTCACAGCCTGGAGTCTTCTTGGAGATAGCAGCCTTAACAAATCTAATAAAGAAAATATTTCCATAGGGCCAAGAATAACGCCCAAATTAGAATTTGAACTTTATTCAAGATGCTTCTTTCTTTTCTCTTTCTCAGCCACTAGGATCCAAGAAGGCTGAGGCCTTTGTTAAAGCCTTTCTGAAACGCAGCATGCCTCAGAAGAGGCAGGAGGACATTGAGAAACGCTTAAACCGGAAAGTACTTGTCCTTAAGCATCCCTGCCAGCGGAAGACCAAGCACAGGGTCAACCGTCAGAGAGGATTATCGGCCAAACAGAGGCGGGAAATGCATCTCTTTGAGATTCCTCCAGAACAGCAGAGGTGAGGAAGGCAGTTTGGTTCTCCTGCCAGGTTGGGATAATGGGGTGATGATTGGGAGATTGAATGATAGATGCCCACTGGGACTGCAAGGGCAGGGACTGCTAGTAATGGTACGTGGGAATGACTTTGAGAGACAGGAGGAAGAGCTTCAGGCAGGAAGACGGTCAGATAAAAGGCAGCTGAGCCCACAGGGGGGAAAAAAAAACAGGCATGGCAAATATCTCAGAAGGGATCCTGCCTAGATTCTTGGGCTGTAAGGGAGACCAGAAAAAAAAAAAACGTATTTTCAGACTGGCAAGATTGACATCCGATTTGGCAGGTAGTCCAGACAGGAAGCACACCCTGAAGAAGTAGTTCTACTTTATCGTCAGGTCCCGTTAACAGAATCTTGCCAGTCTGAAAGTACCTCCGTCCCCACCTCACCTTTGCAGTCCAAGAAACTATGAAAGGTTCCTTGTCATGTCCCTGTTCCTTCTAACCAGGTAAGCTGCCTCTTATCTAGCCGTTTTCCTCCCTAGCTTTTCCCTGTCTCCCAAAGTCATTCTCACATGTCATTATACCAGGTCCCCCCCATACGTGAGGATGCCTTTGCGGGTTCTTAAAATCTTCTGACCACTTTGTATCCAAATATTGCACGCCTCTGTCCAGCAGTTTTCTGGCCTTGCCCCTAATCTCTGACAGCTCTTTTTTGGGTTATTTTCTGGAATGGTAGTTTACCACTAGAGGGCAGTAGGTGATTTTTTTTTTAATTATTATTATTACTTTAAACTTTCTTTCTTTTAAAGCCGTGGCTGTTTTTGCTTTGTTTGAAAAGATTTAAAGAAGTCTCAAATCAGCACTTGCTGAATGTAGAAAGGAAGAAGGGGCTGGAAGTCTTCCATCGTGGACTGAGCCCCCTCCTAACAGTCCACACTGCAGGGAGCAGGTGGGATCCAACAGAAAAAAGAAAAGGAATCCAGAAGCAACATTAGCAGATAATTAGCATAATTTTCATAGAGGTGTCAAGCAGCCTAAATTTTCAAAGGAAAGTTAAAAGCTACCATTAGTAACTTTAATTACGTGATTGCGGAGATCTGTCATAAGTCACCTTTCGCAGTGCCATTGTGACTCTGAAGTTCACTTAAAGAATGGTTATAAGTCGAGGGCTTGTTGTAGTTAAAGCAGAAACAGATTCCCTTCCAACAAAATACTTTATAGAATCCCTGGACAATTGTTGCACGTGGTCCTTGTCTTTATTCTGCAGATACGAGATATTTATACCATTGCATGAGCTTTGGAAACAGTACATTAGAGAACTCTGCAACGGATTGAAACCCGATGCGTAAGTTCAATTCTCTTCATTCATTCATTCTTTTTTTTCTTTTTTTCTTTTTGGCAAACTGTTGCATGCTTAGTGGGGATGGCTGGCGATTTCTCCTCTGGTGGAAAACCTTTAAAGACCACCAAGTGAAACTGCATTCTAGAATAGTTCACAGCTTGAGAAAGGAAGAGTTTATAGTGAAGTTTTCAAAGTTTTTAAAAGTTTGAAAAGATGGCCATTGAACAACTTTAAAAAAAAAAAAAAACCACATACATACACACTCTTTCCTGGAGTGTCTGATAAAGACTTAAAGCTCTACAGAACTGGCTATATTTGAGCGAAGGCAGTCTTATGGGAACCTCGCTTTCTGCAAAACACAGTTTTTAAAACCCTGGTCTGTGTGAATGCTTCCTTGAGTCTTTTATCTGAAAACCTAGCCTATGGGGAAGAGTTGCATCTTAGGTTTGTGTATAAAACTATGTTATACAGAAGAATGTTTAAACCTGGAGCCTCTTAATTTAGAATCTGACCTAAAATAGTTTGCCAAGCCAGGCCCTGTTTATTTGGTCACTGAGTTGGGTTTATGCTCTGCATTTAATCAGTATTGTGATCATTGCAGTATTCTCAAGTGAAAATAGCATCTTGTTTAGCTGTTTGCGGTGAGCGGTATAACATAATTTCAAAATTATACCTTGTAATCTTACCCTCTTTTTGTTTAACTTCCTGGAAGAATTCTAATATAGTTCTCTCTGCATTTTGCAGACAGCCACAGATGATTCAAACCAAATTACTTAAAGCAGATTTCCATGGAGCGCTTGTGACAGGTATTTTTGCTCACTTCTCGTGTCTTTTTTTTTTTTTTTAATTGAAACTTGCACTACTCAAAAAATTTAAAGCACATTTGCCTCCCCTTAACTTTACATAGTGGATTTGTTTTTTAAATTTATTTGCACACCGTATGAAGAAATCCTTTTGTCTGACCTGCATGTCAGTTTCATTGATGATCTGGTGTTTTACCACTGAGAAGAGTGAAAAGTTCTTACTGTTCATTATTTTTTCCCAATCTGGGCTTGATATAACACATCTGCGGGTATCTTAGAACTTCAGTTTTACGAGAGTGAAGAGGGCAAAGGTTGGGGTCAAACCTTGAGAAAGGTTGATAGGGCAGAGGTTCTTTTTCTGGGGTCTCAAAAGGTGTGCCAGGCTGAAAATAAATCTGTTCTCCATTACAGGTAGCCCATTTTACAACCTTTCTTGCCACAGTTGTTAAGTGAATCACCACAGTTGTTAAATTAGTAACCGCCATTGCTAAATGAATCTGGCTTCCCCATTGGGTCATGGTTCCGACAGATGAAACTCTTCCAAAGATCTTCGAGGCATTGTTTACCTTAAAGAATCTTTATTTTGAGTAGCATAACTTCAGCACTGCATAATCAAAGCCAAAAACTGAATTCCCCTCCCCTGGGCACATAGTATCAAAGCACAATTCCCTCCTCCAATTAACAGTCATAAATCACATTCCCCAATTAGCTTGAAGCACAGGGCTCCTCTCCAGTTCTCCAGGCGAGGCCAATTCCTTATCAGCTCTGGTTACAATAACCTTGTTTCTCACGCTAGGTCTAGTGTTGTTATGTCTAGCTGGACTCTTGTTCACATCCCCCCTCCCAGCATCATCTAACTCTAAAAGCAAAAGGTAAAAGATGGCTACATTTCCCTTTGTTGTCAATGCAAAAACATCCGATGTTAGCAGCGTTGACATAATTGACTTTGCTTGCCAGAAGGTTGCAAAAGAACAGGGTTCTTCAAACCTGGCCCTTTGATGACTTGTGGACTTCAACTCCCAGAATTCCTCAGCCAGCATGCCAAGGTTATGATTCTGGTTTCCATTTTTCCCCCCATGCACACATGCACAGTCTTGGGCTCTGGGACTCTCAAGGACAGCAATTGCAACAGGGAATTCTTTAAACTGATGGTCCAGCTTGAATGCTCAGACTTCTTTCTTTCTTTCTTTCTTTCTTTCTTTCTTTCTTTCTTTCTTTCTTTCTTTCTTTCAGTGACTAAATCCAAATGTCCTTCCTACGTTGGCATCACGGGCATCATCCTCCAGGAGACGAAATACGTTTTCAAAATTGTCACGAAAGAAGACAAGCTGAAAGGTAGATCAGTAGGCGGATCAGAATCTTACTTGACCAGTGGAAAGTTCCGTTTAACTAAAGAACTTCTCCCTTAAAACATTTGTAAAATAGGAGGTTGGTAATCAAGAACTTAAACCAAGAACACCTGGACCAGAGAGTGGTGGGAATTGGGTGCTCTCAAACTTTGAGGAGATCTTCCCCTCCTGTAGCTGAATTTGTAATATAACCAAGATAAAGCTAATTCAACTGTATCTTTTATAAGTACAAATATCCATTGACGTTGCTCCCTTTAAACTTGACCTGAACTGTCTTTGCTCTTCTGCAGCTCTTTCCTTTTTTCTCTCTCTCTTTTTGTCCTCCTCCTGCCCCACCTTCTTCTGTGGTTCTTGCTGCTGGCTAAAACAGTTGAAGGATTTCTTGTAACCCTCAGCGGAATTCTATATATTCCAAGCTGCTCGCCAGTAACCAAACCCTATACCAGAGGTAGGCAACCTTGGCTCGTTTATGACTCATGGACTTCAGCTCCCAGAATTCCTGAGCCAGCATGGGAGAACTATGCCCCCTCATGACTCGTGGAGTTCAACTCCCAGAATTCCTGAGCCAGCATGGCTCAGCTTGGAAACCTCTCCCTTTCCCCTCAGCATGGCTGGCTCAGGAATTCTGGGAGTTGAAGTCCACGAGTCATAAAAGAGCCACGGTTGCCTACCCCTGCCCTATACTTTATGGCATTTTAGTTCAGTAACCTTTCGTTCTGTATGTTTAATAAATATACACTCCCAATCTCCCAATACACGTCGAGTAGAATTAAGCAACCTTTAAACATCTCTTGCAAACTAGGCCTGACTCCCATTGGAATATTAACATTCTCTTCCTTGGTGTATCCCTCCTCCATTTTCTTTCCCGGCCTTCATTCTCTGCTCATTCCTTGTAAGATCTGGGCGCTGTGTTAAATCATTTAACCAAAAGGTGTTTCCTGGGGCTTCTTTCAGTTATCCCAAAGTGGAACAATATCTTCAGTATAGAAATGGACGGCTTTGTGTCTTACATCTACGGGAGCAGGATCCAGTTTCGGGCAAGTGAGCGTTCTGCAAAAAAGTTCAAGGGACAAGGAACGATGGATTTGTGATGATGATTATTATTTTTCTGCAAAATTGGAAAGTTTTGTTTCTGAGAATCCACAATAGTCTTTTCTTCAAAGAAGAAGCAACAGCAGAGCACCAGCAAGGATTATTACCCCTGTATTTTCAGGGATATCTATGAAACCCAAGGTGGGTTCTTCCTTGTATTGATTTTGACAGGCAAAGACTGGCAATTGTCAGATTGTATCAGTACTAATTCTAGATTTATGCCTTGTTGGATTTTGTGTTACATTATTTAAAATGTTCTTGTTTGTAATGTGGAATGAAAATTTTTGAAAACTAAAAAAAAAAAAAATGTCCAAAGCAGCGACGTGCTGAGAGTTGTTGGCTATTTCTGATTTATAGTAAGCGTTATACAAGTTGGATCCAGTTTCATTGGTAAGCATTACACAGCATTGTCCAGTTTCTCACTATACAACAGCTGGCCTAGGTTGAATTCTCTTTCTTTGCACAGTTGTCCCTGTTACATTCAAACTGCTCTAGATAAATGATAGAGATTGATAGAAGGACCAGTGGACAGACAGACAGACAGATAGAATTAGAGAGAGGGGGAGAAATGATACATAAATGGATTTTATTTATTTAATTTTTATTACATTTGCATGTCGCCCATCTTGCAATTTGAGACGGATCGAGTTGCTTTGAATGAACCAAGATGGGCAGCAAATACATTTAATAACAAATAATAAAAATGGATGGATGGAAAGAGAGAGAGAGAGAGATAAATGTAGAGACGGATGAATGGAGATGGATGGATGGATGCAAATATTTTTAATTTTTATTAAATTTACATATTGTCCATCTTACAGCTAGAGGCAGACAGGCAGACAAATAGATATGTAGCAAGTAGAACTGCTTGTTCAACTGTGCTTGTTGCTGTCTCCCTTAAGTGATATGCAACACTGGCCAAATTATTTTTGACTGAAGCTTATCCTGGAAAGATTTTTTTTTTTCTGTTCCCCATGCTTCTGGAAAAAAAAAACCCTCTTTCATTGTTTTATGGTAAGCTAGCTGTTTACCGCTGTACATATTGAGGGCTATCCCAAAGGAAGGGGGGGAAAGATTATGTAAATTAGACTGTTTTCTAAAGTTAGAACATCTCTGGCGCACAGCCTTCCACTGAACCTTGTAAAATTTGGGTCTGTCATCAGACTGCTATGAAGAATAAAAACCAACTCTTCAGAGGCGCTTACAGGCCACCCTGGATCCCAGGCTTTATAATGCAAAGCTCATTCTATTGTTTCTTTTCCTGGTGTCAAGGAAAGAAAGGGCGTATCCCTTTTAGCAAGCACAATTCTCAAGAGGCCATGTGTGTTTCAAAGATTAACTATACCGAAATTAATAAAAAACAAAACAGGATGCACAATGGCATTGAAATGAAAGAGAATACCAGAGCATTCATCAGGGTGGGGTTATAAATAAAGATATGCCTGAACAACAAAATTTCTTTGCAGTAAGAGCACTCCATGCATGAAATAATGTGCCTTTTCAAACCTTAAATTAGACTGAAAGCTCCTGTGGCCAAAAAGGGAGAGAAAGATAAACTTGATCTACCATTTATGCTCTTCCCCCCCCCCCCCCAGCTGCACCGTGCTTTGTTTTTATTACCGCATATCCTGAACAGATGCCTCTAGGCATAACAGGGTAAAACTAAACTAAAGGCCAGATTTTTTTTTTCCCCCTCCCCGGTGACTAAGATGCGACTCGGGCCAAAGGAAGGATCAGATTTCTCCCTGTGGATGCTGCAAACGTAAAGAGGAGAATTCAGGCTAAGAAATGGCTCTTCTGCCTCCAACTCTGACTCTTCCCCTTGGTTAGAAATGGTGAGTCAGAAGGACCGAAGAAACAGCCCGATGGAAAAAGTGGTGGGAACGTCTCAGCAGGAAGGACCACCAATCCCTTTGAGGATTCTGAAAACATTCAAACCAGTTTTTTGGTTTTTTTTTTGCAAGCTCTTATGTTCTGAAGTTGAAACTCAAATACTTTGGCCACCTAATGAGAAGGAAGGACTCACTGGAGAAGGGCGTAATGCTGGGAAAGATGGAGGGCAATAGAAGAAGGGGACGACAGAGAATGAGATGGCTGGATGGAGTCACTGAAGCAGTAGGTGTGAGCTTAAAGGGACTCCAGAAGATGGTAGAGGACAGGAAGACCTGGAGGAACATTGTCCATGGGGTCGCGATGGGTCGGACACGACTTCGCAATTAACAACAACAACAACAATGTTCTGCTAACACCAAAGTTCCTCGTTTTGTTACCAGAAAGTCTTAATCAGTAGTCCGGGAATTCTAGTCCCATGTTAGGCCTGAAAGGCATCTAGGTATCAAGTGCGGGAAATCAGGAAATCCAGGCAGTTCAAATGAATAGAAAGGTTTATTGCAAGCTTAAGCTCTCTGCAAGAGTCTGAACTACTGACCGCCAAAGCAAATTGGTGGCAGATAAGGAATTCAAGGTGGGCTGGACTTAGATCTTTTGTGAATGCGAAAGGACTTGAGACTGATGACGTGTTTGACCCCTCCCTCGGGCTCAATCTGGTCATCTCCTACACCAGGAGTTGGTGAGTGCCAGTCCTGCCTTAGGCATGAAAGTCAACTGGATGTCCTTGGGCCAATCACCAGGAGATAGTGAGTTCTAGTCTTGCCTTAGACATGAAAGCTGGCTGAGTAACCTTTGGCCAGTCTCTCTTTTCAACCCAAGCCACCTCACAGGGTCGTTCTGGGTAGAATAGGAGAAGGAAAATTAGATATGTTTGCTGCCTTGCGCTATTTATAAAAAATAATAAAGGCAGGAAATAAAAATAGATACGTGTTGGTTATAATATCATCTATGTATAGCACAAACTTCCCCTTGAACAATGACTTGACTCTGATTTACTTCATTCCATGATGTAACATCTAATTAGGACATCTGTTAAATGCCTCTCATATTAATTTAATAGGAAGGGCTAATAGAACTTTATTGGCAGAGTCCAGTTAATTAATATTATGGGCCTTTAATGGCTGTCTTAAATCAACATCATTAGTGAAGATGCTATCCAAATTAAAGTCAGGACTGTTTCATTGGACTGTGAAGGGCACACAAAGTGAGGCATGGATATGCAACTTAATCTGTGTCCAACATGCACATTCTGAGACTTATTCTTCAAAGATATCCTTTAACCAATAATTGTCTATGTCACAAGATTTCAGTAGCTTCTGAAGTTTGGTTTGCACCACTGGAATCCAAGAGAAATGCAACAAATTTATCACAGCAGAAAGAGGAAAATATTTCACAGATTTTTCTCTCCTTTCCTGAGAAGCCCTAGCTAACATGGTCATACACACTCATGGAGAAGGACAACTATGGTTCCAGTGGAAAGATACAATGAGCATTAATACCCAGGTGGATCCAATCCATCTGAGCACTATGGAGAAGAAGATTGAAAGGGATATCGTCATATCAAGGAAAAGTGGAACAGTATTCAGGTACAGCTACTAAATCAGGGCTGCAAAATTCCCAACAACCACTAGGGTGCAGCAAAGATCTAAAGCTTTCTGAACCGCATCCACCTTCACTGCCATCTGTTGGTCATCTGAAGTAGTTCAAAGAAGACATGCTATTGTGCATTTTATCTGTGGACATGAAAGCACAGAGTCTAGCCCAATAGGGGCACTGGAAGTCCATTTTTAAATAAGTGTGAGCATTACTCTATGATGCCCTGCATGATTTTTCATCTGGTGCCCATCTTCAGAGCTGGTGGAGGCTTCATAGCACAGGGCTCACCAGCAGGGTCTTGTCAGCAACCACAGATTTCAGTTCCCTTGACTGACTGTCACAACGGCACAAGGTTTCCTTCACAGCATCTTTGTGGCTGTTGAGTGGATGATTTCATGGTCTCTTCCCAGTTCTCCATACATCAACTCTCAAGGCATATGGTAGTTGCCCATTCTGATGGCACATCTCAGCTACTGCATCTGGCCTCCGATAATCAGGGACTTCACACTATCCAAGAACTTCAGATCCAGCAGAAACCCCCTCAAAATTGTCATCATAAGAAGTTCCACACCCAATTTGCACTATTTACCTGACCCTTAGAGCACAGAGAAACCTCCAAGTGGCCTCAACGACTCTCAAGGGTAATAACGACCAGAGGACTGCAAGGAATAAAAAGCCTTCCATCTTCCACTATTCGGTCAGAACTGAAGAAGCTTCTTGGGTGAGAAGCAAAATGTCTTCAAAGAAAAACACAAGCCCGGTGGCCTTTTGAAAAAGCATTTTTGGGGCAACCATGACCTGGATGACTGAGAATCTCCACAGAAATTCATTGTAAGAAGGCTGAGCTTGGAGGAGGGTGGGAATTGGAAGGGAATTAATGCCGATCCCTCCCGCGGCCTCTAGAGAGAGACCACGACAGGTTCTCATCACGTAAAGCAGGAGAAAACAATAGTCCTGTTTCTGTTGCTTCCTTATTGCTTGCCTGGCTAGTCACGTTGGCTGTCCGCTGGCTTATTTCAAAAAATGATGGCCTTGGAACATTCAAGCCGAAGAGCTGGAACCCCCTTGCAGAAGAATTCCATTGCCGTCGCTGCTTTTGAACACTCCATTAGGTGCCTGCCTAATTAATGTAAATGATCGTTATGCCTCTCTCACGGAGGATTATTTTACTCAGAGGAGCATCTACCCGCTGCCACAGTAGCCATCAGAGGCGGTTTTATAGGGAAGCTGGCATGGTGGCTACCCATTGAATAAAAGGTAAGGAGCCATCCTAGATAATGCAGATGGAAGGTTTAACAGTCCCAATAACATATTCCGCGGTATTTTATTCCAGGAATTAAGAGCTTGATTGCAGCCCTGTGCTAATGAGGGGGAAGCCGCGTTTGGCAAATGGAAGCTTTCAGCAGGCTGAATCTGCGAGAAGTGCTCGAGCCGAACACATTTAATAGAACAGCAAGGAGTTGATTTGATAAGGCAGATCACGGCAACCGTAGAAGAGAATATTTGTAGCACAGGGTTGAACTGTGGGGTCTCTCTGAGCTTCGTTGTTTGCTTGCAGACGTTTCCTTACCAAACTAGGTAACGTCATCAGTGCTAGAAGGGAGTGAGGTTTGTTTATAAAATACAAGTGGCTTGCCCTGTCAGTATTGGTGAGTGTGGACTGTTTGATTGGAGCTGTTGTTTACTATCAGCTTGTTTGGCTGAACTGCCAATCAAAGAACTATCAAGGTCACGTTACTGTGGGATATTACGAACAGCCATAAATGCAGGCCAGTTGCCCAGTGCCTGACATGCAGTCATGTCACCCTCAAAACTTTGGAAG